AGAGCTGATCTTTGACTTTTGGAAGAGATTAAGGAGAGAAAAAGGGAGAATACTGTGGCACTTTGAAGCCCATTTAAGTGTCCAGAGTGAGGTGCTAGTTGCCTTTAGCAGCTCTGGTGTTTGTCACACCCATTGATGAGACACAGAAGTTGAGTGACAAGCAAGGAGAACAAGTCATCAGGCCTGATTTTTCCCCAAACCCAACAGTGTTTTTTATAAATGCCACAAAATTGTTCTTGAAAATTTGCATATGGTTCTTACTGAAGTTTTCAACGTATTTAGAGACGGTTGGACAATTTTTTAGCAGATAACTTTGACAGAAGGGCAAATGTTGATCTTAGGCAAGGGAATAGCCTTCTAGGGAGGTTTTTTTTTATTTCTGTCTTGGAAAAAATAAATCTGCTGATACTTCTTGCTGCAGGGGTTGAAAATCTACCTTGCTGTTAGACTTAAGTAGTGAAATTCTTTGTGCTATGAAGTGATAGTAAAACAGCGCAATGACACTTCAAAAGATTTAAATCCATCCTAGAGCTTTTCATCATTTGGTTAATACAGAAAAGTGCCTTTCTATTTGTGTAAGAACAGAGATTGTGCAAGCAGGCAGGACGTAAGCACTTCTCATTTTAGATTAGGATATACATAACTTCTTAGAACAAGAGTTTTTTATTGGTTTTTTTTTTTTCCCAGGAGCTTAACTTTATGGTGGAAAAAAATTATACTAATAGTTACTCACTACTAAAGCTACCTTTTAAACTATTGTTTAACACCTTAGAGAGAAATTTTGGGTTTAAAAAGGGGTACTGGTTTGACAGCCTTCAAATGCTACTCTTATGCACAGAGTTTCAGCCTAAGGCAGAACTATCATCACTGAGCTGTTAAGAATAAGGTGATCTGCCTCGAGCTATGGGAGAGCATTTGTATCCATTCAGCATTTGTGTCTTCTGCAAAGGTTCTTCTATAAATCTTAGTAATGGAAAACTAATAGGTTACAGCATATAGTAAATCAAATAGGGATGAAATCCCATAGCTTGGGATTATTAAAGAGAATTTCGGCAGAGTTGTTGGGAAAAATATAGTAAGGTTTTTTAAAAAATGGAGGGAGATTAATACAGGCAGGATGGTGTCTTTAATTGATACAATTAAGCTAACCTTGCTATTATGTTAGCAGAGGTTATGAATATTTTTGTATGTAAAATACTGTTTTGTAAGAAAAAGTGTCTGATTTATGGCTTTCACAGGTCACCACAAAAACATGGTGCTATTCTGAAATCAGATGCACTGTAACCTGATTCAGGAGTGAATCACATGCCTTAAAATACCACAGCATGGAATTTCACTGATGATAAAGAGCTAAATATTGAAAACAGAAATGTACGTTATAATATTATCAAGCTTAGAAGGTAATGATTAGATAGCTAAAGATACTAGAGAAACTTCATCTGGTTTGGGAGCAGACAATGAAGGTCGTCTTGCAATTAAAAAACCTTAGTCCCTGGTTTGGTGTCATACAGAAACCACAGACAGTTCTTCACTGAATTGTCAAGTAACATTTTACTTTGAATTAGAGAACTAGCAGGAATCAGTATGTTGGATATAAAGCAACTCGAAGTGGGAGGAAAAGATGTGGTTAACGAATACCCAAAGGACTCTCCTGACATTCAAAATATGCAGGTCTAGTTAGTTCAGCCATCCAGCATGTTATACAGTCTAAGTGCAAACTTTGAAATAGAGTTCGGGCACTTGATGTGAAAGGCAAAGTCCACCCTCTTTGCAATACTGAATTGTTTCTGTTAGCTTTGTACTGCGAGCTTGGTGCTCTGCCTTTGTCCTTCTAATCTCGATACTTCCTCTGTTGTGAGTCC